TATGCTACAGTGTTAAAGGCATGAAGGGCTCAGTCGGCGAAGGCTTGCGGCGCAAAGCAAGAGGCGAACAATGCCTCGTGCCTCGAGCCAGACACAACGTTCAGTGGAGGTGCTGGAGAAAAGCATGGCTTTTCACTCAGTGACCCTTGCATTTCGTTTCTTAGGACAGTTACGGTAGGGTAAGTTGCCTCTCGCCCAGGACGAGGTTTGGGTTCTCTACAAGCCACCTTTGTGGGAGATGGGCGGCAAACCGGTGCCTGCCGGCCAGTCATTGCTTGGGACCCGTGGACTGTGCTGATAATCTGCCTCCGGAACAGCAGGAAGGGATTGTAGGATCCGCTGGTGGGCATTATGGCAACAAAAGCTTGAGTTTCAAGGCATCCCCTTCAAAGGTTCATGAACATAAAGGCATCCGCTGCCATGGCAGGTCTCCCGCACCTGCATCCTCAGTCATCACAGACAGTAACAGACCCTCGTCGGTTCCAGAAGAATTGTTAAGTGACAGAAGAATTGTTAAGTGAAAGAGGACAGCAAACCACTTTCAACATCTTTCAACTGCCTACAGAAGATCAACATGCCCGCGCCTTGCCAGACCCAGTGGGAGCCGAAAATCCGGGACCAGTACATCAAAAACAGCCGGGAACTGAAGCCGCAGCCTGCTTGGGGAAGGAATTGAAATATTCGCTCTGACAGCCAGTCACGCTCGTCGCTCACGCCTGTGTGAGCAAACATGAGTAGAATGAACATGGGCTGCTGTAGACAGATCCCGTCTGGAAATGCACCCAGGTAAAAGCAAGAATGAATCGTTGGACAAACTTTGGCGCAGCCGGCAAGTTTGTCGAAGGGTTTCAGGATGGAATATAGCTTCATCCCCCCAACTCAGACCTGTAAATCTGTGCTGATAACATTCCAGTGCGACAACGCAAGGGCGCGGAAAAAATGAAATGCACCGATGCACCGATCGTAGAATGTTCGGCAATATCATCACGCTGTGAAGCCTACCTGGTATAACATGTTGATGGCAGAGACTTTTTTTGTGGCAACCTGCTCCTCTGCCAGGAATGACAAGAAGAGCATTTTGCAGGCCTCCGGATACCGGGCCACCCCCGAGCATGGAACCCCCAACGGTTCCACATTGACTGCAGCCCTTCAGAAGAGAGGCTACATGGGGCTCCATGTTAGTTTGGGGGTTGGCGAAGCGTCTTTGCATCTTAGCCTCGCCCGCAACACGAGAGGATCCGTATTGCAGGCTGAGAGTTCAACGGTTTACGGTTGACAAGTAAGGGTTCATGGGTTCAGAGTACGTGGGTAGGCTTTGGGAATCTCGCAGCCCTCGCCTGTCAGAATACTCCGCATAACCTCCGCCCCTAATGGGCCCTGAGTGTTGAGAGATCCTGAAGCCCTACACAGTATACATCCATTTTTCACCCCACAATAAGGGGCCAGTTAACTTGCAACGAGGTCTGGCATGGAATAGTTTGCGGATACCACTGGGCACCATGGCTTGTTCAGCATTTTTTTGAAGGGTGGAGCTGTAGTGCTCCATAACATAAAGACTGTGACGATGCGGTGGTTTACGAGTTCATTGCTACATGTTGAGGTGACAGGGTCATGGGGACACACGTGCTCAGTTTTGCGAAGTAGACCGCCGTGTATTGCATGGTGATCTATATGATATGTGAACACACATGTTTGGGAGCGGCCCATTGGACGGCCCTCCCGCGACAGAGGGTTTGTAACAGAAAGACTGGTCATGCGACAGACGCTTCGACACACCCCTAAAAACCCGAGGCCTACCACAAAGCTGTTTGGAAAAAGGAGCCGCAAAACTGTAACGCGGGGCCTAGGCCCAGCAATGCACGACCAAGAACTCACACATTTTTTCGAACACGTGTAGAAAACATTATGAAGGATGCTAGTTGCTCTTTGGGTTCTGGCAGGGTTTCATGGAGGTTTATGGCATATTGAGGGTTTCCCGCCAGTACACATTAACATACTGTTGTCAGCAGTAGTTGTTAGATGATGTGCGGTTTGGCTTCTAGGGTTTTTCCTGATTGTCCTAGATGTTGGTAGTTTGTGTAGGGCTTCTAGCTTCCTTTTTTCACGAATCCTGGAAACCTCTCTCCGGTGGATCAGGTGGGTTGTGAGATAAATAGCTGTGTATATATATATATACACACATGTTGAAATTTGTCGCAGGCATGCTGTGGATAGTTGTTATCGCAGTCTTGTGAGAAGTGCATTACAGTTTTCATCATTCAAGCTACGGATGGCAAACTTGTTCAGCTTGGTCAACAGTATTCGAAATGTGGCCCCTAGATGTCATCCGCCATATCTTGGCAACCTTGCAGTTTCACGGCTTTTGGACTTCTGCTTGTAGAGCGTTGGCCTCTTGCAGCCACACTTTTCATTTCCAAGCCTGCCACCTGTGCCGCACAAGCTTTTAGCGGCCATTGATCAACAATTTAATCATGGCCGAGACGTCTGTGAAATGAGAGGCTGCGAGGTAGAGTGTATGATTGAGATTGAGATGATGCTGGTTCTCAATCTATAATGATAGTGGCCATGATGGCACCTTGAGTTGTGGTGATTTTTATATCGCTCTGAACTCCAGGAAGAACAACGCAGCAGCTTTCAACAACCGAAAAGGTTGCTAGACGATTTCTCGCACCGAACCGTTTCTGTAAAGCCGAGGTGATGTGCTACCCACCATCCCAGGAGAAAGACGCACAACAACTAGCCAGTAGACACAAGCCATGAAAGGTAACCAACGGGGATCCGAACGATGAGCAGACAAGGACAGTCAGAGAGCCCCAGCCCCAGAGGGATCAGAGTTTCCAACCCAGACCAGGGCTTCCTCGATCAAATCTAGAAGGTTGCAAAGCGTTTGCAGAGGCCTGGAATCATGCGTGCACCTATCATTTCACAAAAGCCCGTATATGGTCCCTATATAGTCCCCATATAGCCCCATAGACAGTCCCTATATAACCCTTATGTAGTCCCTTATATAGTCCCTATATAGCTTCGTTTTTTCAAGCTCCCCACTTGTCTAGTAAGCATTTCGCACATATCAGCCCATTGGGGTGATGTTAGGGCTATTGGGGTTATTCTGGGATAATGGAAAATAGAATGGAAGCTACTATAGTATACAGGGGTAATACTAGGGCTATATTGGGGTTATATTGGGGGAATATTAGAGATACTATCCCCCAATAATGGAGAATCAAATGGAAAAGAACACGGAACATGAAATGGAAACAGGGGTTTAGGGTTTAGGGACCATTGGGGTAATATTAGGGTTATGTCGGGGTTCTATGGGGAGAATGGAAAAGAAAACGAAAACTACTACGCATGGGAATGAGCCGGGTCACAATTGGCATGCGCACTGCAAATGTGAAAAGTCTCGTCTGCAAAGCTCTGCCACCAATATAACCCCTATACAATCCATATATAATCCCCACCATAACCCTATTTAATCCCGATATAATCCTGAATATAACCCCAATATAACCATGTAAGCCGTGCCTGGGCTTCCGCTGAAAGTGCTTCTGCAGGGTTTTGCAGAATCTCAATCTTTGACTTCATGGTCACATCTGTCTCCCACTTGCATCCAAGCATATCCAAGCACATGACACAGTATGTGTGCAGAAAGGTTCGGGGCCCGGCACATTAGGCTGGATTGTTGTAGTTGATATTTATGAGAGCTGTAAAGGGTTTGTTGAATCCAGTAGTAGCTCAAGCACCGCTTATCGAAGCACCAAACACAGAGCCTGCACAGAAGGGGTTTCCGCTCGTCGCTACTGGCCGACGATAGACTTTTGCAGGTGCATGTCTGGTCCGATCCTTTAAGTCTTTTTGATGCCTCTGAACTGCCCATCTTCTCAAGACCCTTTGACACCCCACAGGCATCAGTACTTGCGAGCGCTAAGCGTACCGCGGCGCAACCATTTTGACTGGGGCGAGAAGTACCGGTTCTAGCTATCTGAGATCTCACATTGTACATCCTCGGTGCGCTTAGGTACAGATGCAGCAAAGAGAAGGCTTGTAGAATCTCTGTTGAAGGTAGCTTCATGTAAAGCCAAAGAGCTTGATGAGTGACTTCTTTGGGGTCCATTGAGATGCTCCCTGCTTGCATCTGCGCATCTGCTTGCTGAGTTGGGGTTTCATCCAGCGGTTGGACCTGGAGACGGATGGGTGCGGCCCCCTTTGAAGCTGCCGGGCCCAAGGATGATAGGGGAGATCAGGAGCTGAATTTATCGTCCTGCAAAGCGGTTCCTGTGTGTAGGTAAAACATCGAGCCGAAAAGTTTGTTGTTGTTTTTCTTCCGGCTTGGCGGGAGATGACAGGCCGGTCATCGTGGCGAAGACTTGGAGGGCGCAGCGCTTTTTGCAGGCATCATACAGAGCGTTTCTTGCTGAGGGCATGTTGCTGACAATCCAAGCAGGAATCGATTTGTCTTGCTCAACCTTATATCTCCCAACCACGACCCAGGTTATGCCTGTTGCTTTTGGCACGATGCTGGTTGCCATAGTCACTGCCACTTGCATTATCGTCATCATCACGACCATCAGAATCACTATCATCATCACCAATATCGTGGTCATCCTCGTCCTCATCATCCGAGTTGTTCCCACCACCTCCTCCACTGCAAACAACCGCCGCCACCAGCGCCAGCAGCAGCAGGAGCAGGAGCAGCAGCAGGAGCATGAGCAGGATCACCACTGCCGCCGCGGCCGCCGCCACCCACACCATCCCCACCACCTCCCGCCACCACTGCCAACACCATCAGGACCACCAGGACAACCAGCACCTCCATTGCGGGTGCTTTTTTGGTACAGGTGGTCATAGGTTTGGTGTTGGTGGCGGCGATGTAATGGTGTTGGTTGGAGTCAGCTGCTATGTTGGAGAGGTAAGGCTTGGCCTCGGGACAAAGCGGGCTCTGCAAGAGGCACGTTGTAGATCCGTCCGCCCTTGCCAGCCCAGCTCGCCGCGCACAGGCCATGAGGACGCCCTCAAAGCTTGCTGGGCGACCGTGCGAAGTAGCAGAGCTGCTCGATTCCGATGTGGCGAAACTGTCAGATGTAGGATCTCTTGCCTCAGGCGTAGTGGAGAACGCCATGCGTATGAGTTCATCGCATCTAGCAACTTTTCTGTGGGCAGCAGCAAAGCTGCAAGGTTTGGCGCCAGAAGTTTCTACAGCTGTAGCAGCCGTTGCTGAGACAATCCGGAGCAAGGTGAAAGACATGCAGCCACAAGATCTGTCAAACTGTCTCGGGGCCGTTGCCAACTTGCGGAGTGTGGAACCAGCCGTCCTAGCTGCGCTGCCATCGCTTGTCAATTGTGTGGCACGGTCTTCGGGAAGGCTGAACGCTTCGCAAACAGCGAATTGCATGTGGGCAGTATCAATCTTGCAAGACGCGATGCCAGATGTATTATTGACAGCTGCAGCAGCTATTGCAGAACACATTCCTGAAAAAGTGGACGGCATGCAGCCTCAAGAACTGTCGAACTGTTTCTATGCAATTGCAAAATCAGAAGGAGCTGTCCCCAACGTCTCTGAGGCAATATCTGCAATTGCATCCAGTATAGCAAAACAGTCAGATGGGCTGAGCCCGTCGCATCTAGCAACCTGTCTGTGGGCAGCAGCAAAGCTGCAAGGTTTGGCGCCAGAAGTTTCTACAGCTGTAGCAGCCGTTGCTGAGAGCATCCCCAGCAAGGTGAAAGACATGCAGCCACAAGATCTGTCAAATTGTCTCTGGGCCGTTGCCAAGTTGCGGAGTGTGGAACCAGCCGTCC